TCATACTCTCTCCTCCAACGTTCTTCGAACTTCTTCAACTCCAGCTTCATCCCATCGTCTCCCGTCGATTGTGCTCTCTCCACCTCCCCATCGTCTGCCTCTTCCATCGCCCATCTTTCGGTCGCTTCCTCCCTCTCTTTTGTCTCCACACCCTCTCTACGCCCTCAACTCATCTCGTCTCGTCCCTCGTCGAATCACTCTCGTTGCCCCTCTCTCTTCTCTGTTGATCGGATCCCTTCTTCATCATGACTTCTGAGGTATGTCTCTCTGTTTGAATCCCCATGTCCCATACCCTGTTCTGTTTCCCGTGGTGATTTGTTTGTTTGGACCCCTCCTGTCCAGTTTGAGGGACCCTATCCCGTATCTACATCCACCGCTTTTCTCCCAAGTCCCTTGGATCTCTCTATCCTCGTTTCGTCTTTCTCGCAGTGCAGTCATCCTTGTTTCCAAACAAAGCTAACCACCTCTTTCATGTGCAGCGTGAGAAGTAAGCTCCCAGGCGATCGGGGTCCCTCCGTCCCAGATAACAGTCCCACTGACAATCCCCTCCCTTTCTCAGCAAGACCTTCCTCGCCCGCCTTTGCGAGCAGGCTGAGCGTTACGATGGTAAGCCTTCGATGTGACTCTGTCTTCCCTGTCCAAGTGCTGATTTATCCGCTTTTTGCGATGCAGAGATGGTCACCTACATGAAGGTAAGCCAACCAACTCCTTATCAATCCTCTCACCGCTGAGGACGCGATCGCTAACCGCCTTCCAGGAAGTCGCCAACGTATGCACAGCCCCGCCACGCGCGCTCCCTCAACCCTTTCCCCCTCTTCCCTCCCCTCAAAGCTGACCCCAGGCTAGATTGGTGGTGAACTCACCGTCGATGAGCGCAACCTCCTGTCCGTCGCCTACAAGAACGTCGTTGGTACTCGCCGTGCCTCTTGGCGTATCATCTCCTCCATCGAGCAGAAGGAGGAATCCAAGGGCTCCGAGCAGCACGTCTCCATCATCCGCGATTACCGCCAGAAGATCGAGACCGAGCTGGAAAAGGTCTGCCAGGATGTGCTGGATGTTCTCGACCAGTCTCTCATCCCCAAGGCTGAGACTGGCGAGTCCAAGGTCTTCTACTACAAGATGTAAGCGCATCTGTCCCCTGAAACACGCGTCGCACGACTGACCTGGCTGTGATAAAAAGGAAGGGTGACTACCACCGTTACCTCGCGGAGTTCGCCTCTGGCAACAAGCGCAAGGTCGCTGCTACTGCCGCCCACGAGGCTTACAAGGTATGCCGAACCGGAGCGCTCGCCACGGTGTCGCCCTGCTAACTGACGCCCTCTCTCAGAACGCTACCGATGTCGCCCAGACCGACCTCACCCCCACTCACCCCATCCGTCTGGGTCTCGCCCTGAACTTCTCCGTCTTCTACTACGAGATCCTGAACTCCCCCGACCGTGCCTGCCACCTGGCGAAGCAGGCCTTTGACGACGCCATTGCCGAGCTCGACTCCCTTTCTGAAGAGAGCTACCGTGACAGCACCCTGATCATGCAGCTGCTGCGTGACAACCTCACTCTCTGGACCTCTTCCGACGGCAACGAGGCCGAGGGTGCCGCCAAGGAGGAGAAGGCCGAGGAGGAGGGTGCCGCTGCCCCTGAGGACAAGGGTGAGGAGGCCAAGCCTGCTGCTGGCGACTCCTAAACGGTGGGCTTTGGAGCGTTTTCTTTGTTGTATCAAAAACTGCTTTGTGTGCTCGGCGTGCCTCTTTGGACGTTCGAAATTCTCTCTGGAAGTGTTCTGAGATCTGTTTTCGCTGCGTGAATGGTTAGGACCGTCACATATCTTCTATCTAATTGAGATCATGTGGGCCGGCCGGCGGAGTTTCATCTTTGGAGAGCGAGGAAAAGGGGGCTGAGCGGAATTTATCTCTCTTTTAGTGTCTTTATTCCCACCCCAGAGCCAGATACAATTGTTTTATTTCGTTATTCCGTAACTCAAAAGCTACCTAACCTGTCTGGCAAAAGTCCTATAAGATTACTCGTCATTGTCTCCGAGGGCACGTCCTACTGTTGGGACGCTTTTTAGATCAAGGAAGCAATTTGCTATGCAGGATTCTATCAAATCTAGTAATATGTTACCATGAACGAAACATGTTTCGGAAGAAGGCGGACAATCAGGCAGAGGGGAGAACAAAAGGATAGTTAGATATGGATATACAAAACAACCATGGGACGATCACTTAGTTGACAGATGGGTGAGTGTCAAACCGACCACACCCGCAACTCAAGGACGCGGAAGGGGAAGAAAAAAGAAACACGAATAAGAATGAAAAAGAGGCAGTCTCTCAAGAGTCCAACCACATCACATAAAGTCATCGTCATCCAGGCCATCATCATCATCGTAGGAAGCATCGATCTTGTTCTCGCGGCTGGTGACCAGCGACACCTTGGTCTTGGCGGCCTTGGACTTCTTGTTCCCCTTGTCGGCGGCGCGCTCCTCGCGCATCTTCTCGTTGCTCATGGTCGTCAACGCGCTGGCGATCTTCTTCACGTCGCCGCTGTTCAGCTCCTTGACCAGCTGCTTGGTGAACTCCTGCGCCCACAGCGCATACTGCGGCTTCTTGGAGTGCGCCGTCAGCAGCGGCGCCAGCGTGGTCGTCAGCCGCGTGAACTGGTCCTTCGTCGTCGGCTTGAACAGCGGCATCGCCGACAGGTCCACCGCCTGCGTCGGGTCCGCCGAGTCGCTGACCACCACCGCCTTCGGCGCGCCCCGGTTGCGCGTCCGGTTCAGGTCGATGTCCCCGAACAGATCCTCCGCGTGCTTCAGGTCCGAGTCCTTCTCCGTCCGCCGCAGCCGCGCCCGCCGCTCCGCCTCGTCCTCCTCGCTCTCGCTCGAGCTGTCCTCCTCCTCCCGCTTCTTGCGCTCCTCCTTGTGCTCCTGTATCCGCTGCGCCTTGCTCTTCTTCTTGGCCGCCGCTTCGGCTTCCGCCTTCGCCTTCGCTTCTGCCGCCTTGGCTGCCTTCTCCCGCTCTACTTCCGAGTCTTCGGCCGCGTCCCACGAGTCGAGGACCTGTTGTCGGCGATGGTTAGTCGTGGATTTCCGTGGTGTGAATGGGGGGTAGGTCTTGTAGTGTGGTGCGTAGAGTCAGAGGGAGGGGAAAACTCACATCCTCTTCTTCCTCGTCGTCAAACTTGCGACGGTAGGCAACAGGAGGGGGAGAGGTGCTCTCTTCCTCGTCATCTGTAGAGATTATATCGCGTCAGTATACATATACATGCCAGCCGCAGCCACCACGGTAGAAAGAATTTCAACATACCCCACTTGGAGGGCGCCATGGCGGACAAAGTCGATCAAAAAATGGACAAAGACGCAAAAGAACTTCACGCAGCAGACGGCTCAGACGGAAACTCCGCTGGTCCCGGCAGAAGGAATCGTCGTGGATGAGGAGACAACTGGGAGAAATTTTGGTGTGGGCGACCCCTCGATTTCAGCATCTCTACGATAGCACCCGGTGGGGCATGTGACGGTCACGTGTGCAACCGTTGATGCCCGATATTCCAGTCACCAACCCTACGAGTATATACTCCGTAGACATGAAATTGGTCTTGTTTTATGTTTACAACTCGCTTTGATCTACTGCATATTAAATGAACTTTTGCTTCATTATACCCACTATATGGCCTATCAATTCGTCATCATAAGTCTTTACCAAGGTCGTCGGCGACAAGGCAATGCAGCTGGGTTTCTGCCCAAAGGACTGCACGTTTGCCACTTGGAAACGATTGCACACCGTCCAGTCGGTACGGGACGGTGCTATTGACTCAATGGAGTCTCCTTCAGCAAAATACCGATTGTGGATGCATTTACAGGTTGACGGCAGTGCGGAACTTCTCGCCGGCGTAGACAGCGTTGTCACCAAGCTCCTCCTCGATACGGAGGATCTGGTTCAGCTTGGCCAGACGCTCGGAACGAGCAGGGGCACCGGTCTTGATCTGGCCGGAGCGCAGACCGACGGCAATGTCGGCAATGGTGACGTCCTCGGTCTCACCGGAACGGTGGGAGACCATGACACCCCAGTTGTCGGCATAGGAGTCCTTGGCGGCCTGGATGGACTCGGTGAGAGTACCAATCTGGTTGACCTTGAGGAGGAGGGCGTTGCAAGACTTGAGCTCAATGGCCTTCTTGATACGCAGGGGGTTGGTGACAGTCAAGTCATCACTGCAGCTGGTTAGACCTTTTTTCTGGATGAGGGGCACATATGGACCACTTACCCGACAATCTGGAAGTCAGAGGTCTTGTAGAAGTAGCTCCAGGCCTCCCAGTCATCCTCGGCGAAGGGATCCTCAATGCTGACAATGGGGTACTTGCTGGCAAGGGACTTGTAGAGGTCGGCCAGCTGCTCGTAGGTGAGCCACTTGGAGGGGTCGCTCTCGGGGTTCTTGAAGTCAAGGTCGTACTTCTTGACGTCGGCCTTGTAGAACTCGCTGGAGGCAACGTCCATGGCGATGTGCATCTTGCCGGTGTAGCCGGCCTGCTCGATGGCCTCGGAGATCAGGTCAAGAGCCTCCTCGGCAGTCTGAATATCGGGAGCAACACCACCCTCGTCACCGACGTTACCAGCAGACTGGCCGTACTTCTTCTTGGCGAGGGCCTTGAGCTTCTGGTAGACCTCAGCACCCTGACGGAGAGCCTCGGAGAAGGAGGGGGCGGAGCTAGAAATGATCAGCATTGCCATTAGATTTGAGGATCCTCGGATGGGACTTACTCAGGGACGATCATGAACTCCTGGAAGGCAAGACGGCCACCGGCGTGGGAACCACCGTTCAGGACGTTCTGGAAGGGGACGGGGAGCACGTAGGGCTTCTTGGTACCGGCGAGGTCGGAGATGTGAGCGTAGAGAGGGACACCCTTCTCAGCAGCACCAGCCTTGGCAATGGCCAAGCTGACACCGAGGATGGCGTTGGCACCGAGGTTAGACTTGTTGGCCGAGCCATCGAGCTTGTTGAGGAACTCGTCAACCTTGGACTGGTCCTTCACATCGAGGTTCTCCTTGATGACGGCGGGGCCGATGGTCTCGTTGACGTTCTTGACAGCCTTGAGGACACCTGTAGTGGACACAGCCCGGTCAGCGTACGTGAATATAGTGGGATGTCCGCTTGACCCAACATACCCTTTCCACCCCAGTGGGTCTTGTCACCGTCACGGAGCTCGCAAGCCTCGTGCTGACCTAGGACGTTGTTAGCCTGGTTGTGACGAAGAGTGCGTCGAGAAGAACTTACCGGTGGAAGCTCCGGAGGGAACAATGGCACGGTGAAGGCCGGTCTCGGTGACGACGTCAACCTCAACGGTGGGGTTACCGCGAGAGTCGTAGACGGAGCGGGCGTGGATCTTGGAGATAGGCATGATGACGAGCTGAGAGATGGATCAGTCGACTGGGGGGGAGAAAAGGAGAGGGAAGAAAAGCAGGAAGATGGCAGAAGATATATATATAGGGCACGGGAAAGACGGGAGAAAAGACAGATGACTCGGTGCTGGGAGGAGACTAGCAGCGGGGGGTGGTGAAAACAGTAAGTGGTGGTTCACCGACAACCCAAAAGGATTGACCTGCGCGGAGACGGGGGAGCAACAACAACAGGTGACAATCCTTGGGAAAGTGGATCAATGGAATGGATTGACCAGTGTCAGGGACGAGTGGAGGATTCCGCAAGGTCGATCGACCCAAGGGAGGCTCTTTCGACCTGGCTGGATGGTGATGTAGAGGTGAAGGTGGTATGATGAAGTCGTTATGGAGGGGTCAACAGGTGAAGGTGGGATGGTGGGGTAATTGAGGAGGGTAGGGAAAGAAAACAGAAAAGAAGACAGGGAGTAAAGACGGATTGTCTGTACACAGCATAACTTACCTGGAATTGCAGAGAACTCAAGGATCTGATGGAGGAGAAGAGGAGAAAAGAAGAAGAGAGAAGAGGAGGGAGGAGGAAGTACTAATACTAATACTACTACGAAGAATTGTCACAGTAATCGTGTCATAGCCAACCGCCTTCTCCGTACCTACTCCCCACCCTGCAAGCAGGTGCTTCGTCGGCCGCCGCGAGTAACAAGAACAGGACGATCTACTGCCCCGGGAAAGCTCACGGTCTTCGTCCTCCGAATCTTTCCAACTTCATGGTGGGGCTTTCATGCTTCTCGTGTCTCTCGTCGACTCTGCTTCCACTCATGGACGCGAGATCTTCCGCATATCCTCGGGGTAATGCGGGTGTGCTCGTGGTTCTCCAGGCCCGTTCCCCCTGATAACTTGTACCTTGTGGGATTCCCTCTTGGAACTCGGGTGTTACGGAATGTCTGGTTATTAACACCTCACTCTTGCACTCGCGAATTTCTAGACGGTCATATACAACCGACTCTGCAGGATGGACCGACAAGGTTTCTACGTAGATGCCTAATGCCATTGTGCACCATTGGGCACGTATCAGACTCGCTCTCTGATAGACGCTCTTCCAACGGGTATCTATCTCATCTTGGACATCTCCTATGGCCCAGTGAGACCCCTTCGAGGCATGCTGGTTGCGTCATGACGAAAAGACTCCGATGACACCTTGATGCCTGATCGGGTCGCGGATAATTAATACTGCGGACGGAAGGCGTTACGTAAGGGGATCTTTCTGCCTTGTATATTAGGCATATATTTTCACGTGAAACACGCACGTGATTAACGCCTCAGGCATAAATCAGGTGACTTACATCACCTGCTGCTCCGTAAGCTCTCAACAGCTCGCCCGAGCTGGCTGTTGGCACCGATCAGATACCCCGACCAGCCATCCACTTCTCATCAACCGCGACAACCTCATCCTTTCCCAGAGTGCCTATCTCAACTTCTACCGCTCTTGCTCATCCCCTTGACCCAATCTCTCTGGTTCACCACCTTCCATCATGAACGGCGCCAGTGACCCAGAGAGGGAGCAGGCTCTCGAAGACTACAAGAAGAGCCTGTTGGAGCTGCGGGAATGGGAGGCGAAGCTCAAGTCTCTCAGATTGGGTATCAAGGATCTGCAGAGAGAATTTGACATTTCGGAAGAGAACATCAAGGCCCTGCAAAGCGTCGGCCAGATCATCGGTGAAGTCCTGAAGCAGTTGGATGAGGAAAGGTGTACGTCTATACTCCCACTTATCTTCTTATGCCCATCACACACCAGCGAGTTGAATTTCTCCATCGAACCCTTACCGCGTGTTTCCAGTCGCCGGTCCGAAACATGCTGACCTCTCCTAGTCATTGTGAAGGCATCCTCCGGACCCCGATATGTCGTCGGTTGCCGCTCAAAGGTCGATAAATCGAAACTGAAGCAAGGCACGCGTGTCGCCCTCGATATGACAACGTTGACCATCATGCGGATGCTCCCCCGGGAGGTCGACCCGTTGGTGTACAACATGTCGTTGGAGGATCCCGGTCAGGTTAACTTCGCCGGTATCGGTGGTCTGAACGAGCAGATCCGAGAGCTACGCGAAGTGATTGAGCTGCCCCTGAAGAATCCCGAACTCTTCCAACGAGTGGGTATCAAGCCACCCAAGGGTGTCCTGCTGTATGGACCTCCCGGTACGGGAAAGACGCTATTGGCACGAGCAGTGGCCAGCTCCATGGAGACCAACTTCTTGAAGGGTGCGCTAACCCGTTTCCGCATTTTGACTGCAACATTGCTAATCATACCTAGTGGTGTCGTCTGCCATTGTCGATAAGTACATCGGTGAATCCGCACGGTTAATAAGAGAAATGTTCGGCTACGCCAAGGAACACGAGCCTTGTATTATCTTCATGGACGAAATCGATGCCATCGGTGGTAGACGTTTCTCCGAGGGTACCTCCGCGGACCGCGAAATCCAACGGACATTGATGGAGCTGCTGAACCAGCTGGATGGATTCGATTATCTGGGCAAAACCAAGATCATCATGGCCACGAACCGACCGGACACTCTCGACCCGGCGCTGCTCCGAGCCGGTCGTCTGGACCGGAAGATTGAGATTCCTCTTCCCAATGAGGTTGGACGGTTGGAGATTCTCAAGATCCACTCCAGCACGGTCCAGCTGGACGGTGAGATCGATTTTGAGAGTGTGGTGAAGATGAGCGATGGCCTCAACGGAGCCGATCTTCGTAACGTGGTCACGGAAGCGTACGTTTCAACCCCAGATTTTGCTGTGTGTACAGGTGAGCTAACGCGTGTTACAGTGGCCTGTTTGCGATTAAGGATTACCGGGATGCGATCAACCAGGATGATTTCAACCGCGCGGTTCGGAAGGTGGCAGAGGCTAAGAAGCTGGAGGGCAAGTTGGAATACCAGAAGCTGTAGTGCATTCACATATCGCCGTATCTGCATGGTTAGAAATCAGTGTAATACGTTGTCGACTCAACACTTTCTCAAGTAGATACAGGGAGTAGGCGATTTCCGTTGGATCCTTCATTCTATCGATTATTTTATCATTACTGAGGTATGTGTCCTACAAGGAGGACGCTCATGTAGCTCCCATCTTATCGAAATGCCCATCTGACGACCAAGTAACCGAGTACACAGGATCACCATTTCAGTTGGTTTCTCCATACTCTCCCGAATGTACATACATACTCAGCACACCTCATATTCTTTTGTACATATTCTTTAGCATATAGTATCGTTGCCATGGATGACGCCAAGGCGTTGGCTTCCCCGGCCGCCTCCACCAATGAACTCCGATCTACATGTTGGGCGCGTCGCAACAAGTGGCCACTCCAGCCGTCTCATCTTCTGCAGTGCACCAGAGCGACAGCTATCCTAATCCTTCATATTGGCATCAGCTCCGTCCAGGCGAAGCTGAAAGCTTCGCAGATTCCCCTTTGCGATTGGCAGTCAGGCACCATCTTGAATGTTGGTCGGTTCGTGTTTTTATTCCAGTACTCACATCGACGCATTCTACGCGAGCAACTCGAGTCCATAGTTCAGTACCGCTGACCCTCGGCTATTGCGACACGCAGGCGTCTCCCAGATTGTACGAAGCTATCCATGTCGTCACCGTGTCTTCATATCGACGAAAGGCGGAATCACTTGAAGCATACCTGAGAGAGGACACAACTGCCTACGAGAGCAACAGTCAACGTATGCTTCCCCACTTTACGAACCTCCATTCAAGCGACCACCTCCTGAGAATCCTCCATACCAAACGCCGCGGACAGGCAGACGGCCATGTCTTACCAATATCCGCGACACAGCCCCTCGCTCTCTCCCAATCGGCCTCTCGAGAACAACTACTGGCGTCCTAGCCGGAGCCCGGGCACCACTGGACTGGGCGGGTATGGTCTTTCACAGTCTCCCGGGATATCGAACAATCTGAACAATTTCTTCACCGGCGACCGCGGCCTCCCCATGTACAAGGATAAGCCGTATTTCGCGCCCCGGCGCACTGGCCCCAGACTCAGACGGAGGAGGGCTGTGTACGGTGTCGGTGTGTTGGTGTTTCTGGCTGTCGTTTGGTATTATGTATTTGGAGGATGGGGAGGGCCCGCACTGAAAACGCCCGATTCGGCGCGCGGAGAAGCGCTCTGGGCGTGGGTGCAGAGCCTCGACAGCACGGACCCGACGTACGACGGGACGCTACAGAAGGGCATCGACTGGGCCGCGCGGAGAGAAAAAGTCAGGGATACAATGATCGTCAGCTGGGATAGCTATGAACAGCATGGTTGGGGTATGCGAGTTCCCAGCCCTGAGTCACCCTTCGAGAGAACCATGCTAACGCCGAATTGCAGGTCTTGACGAGTACCGCCCGCAGGCTAAGAATGGCAAGAATATGGTCGAAGGTGGCATGGGATGGATTATTGTTGACGCACTTGATACGCTCATGATCATGAACCTGACCTCGCGCGTCCAACACGCTCGCAGCTGGATCCACCACACATTGCAGTACAACCAGAACCACGACGTGAACACGTTTGAGACGACCATTCGGATGCTGGGTGGGCTTCTCTCAGCGCATTATCTCTCTTCGACCTTCCCCGACCTGGCGCCGATCACAGATGACGACGCGGGCTCGCCCGGCGAGGACCTGTATATCGAAAAGGCAACTGACCTGGCCGATCGATTGATAGGCGCTTTTGACTCCAAGTCCGGGGTGCCGTTCGCCAGTATTAACCTCAACACATCAGAGGGCATCCCGTCCCATGCAGACAACGGTGCTTCGTCAACGGCGGAGGCTACGACGTTGCAGTTGGAGTTCAAGTATCTGGCCAAGCTGACTGGCGAGGCGGAGTATTGGCGGGTCGTAGAGAAGGTGATGCAGGTTGTGGACGAGCAAAACGCGAAAGACGGGCTTGTTCCGATCTATATATACCCCGACACTGGCCATTTCCGGGGTGACAATATCCGTCTCGGCAGTCGGGGCGATTCGTACTATGGTATGACTTTGCCCGTGTCCATTTCCCACGCGCGCGTCTCTAACTGATTGTCCCTAGAATATCTTATCAAACAGTATCTCCAGACGTCTGAACAGGAGCCCGTGTACAAGGAGATGTGGGACGAAGCGCTCGTCGGCATTCGGAAACACCTCATTGCGTACAGCAAAAACGCCCAGCTGACCATCCTGGGCGAGCGTCCCTCCGGCCTTGACGGCGCCCTATCCCCCAAGATGGACCACCTCGTGTGTTTCCTGCCGGGCACGATCGCGCTCGGCGCCACCGGCGGACTACCCCTGTCACAGGCGAAGAAGTCCTCGACGTGGACGCAGCGGCACGACGAGGAGATCCTCCTCGCCAAGGAGCTCATGAAGACCTGCTGGGCGACGTACCTCGCCACCAAGACCGGCCTCGCGCCCGAAATCACCTACTTCCAGATGGACACCCCGGCCGTAATGGAGAGCGACGCGTACCCGGACTCGACCCTCGCCACGGGCAACCGCGAGTCGCAGCATAAGGATCTGCCCCTACGATCGAAGCCGCTCTACCCGCTCGCCGACGAGACCCTGACCTGGCGCGACGACATCCAGATCCACACCCAGGACCGCCACAACCTCCAGCGGCCCGAGACCGTCGAGTCGCTCTTCTACATGTACCGCATCACCGAGGACGAGACCTACCGGCAGTGGGGGTGGGAGATGTTCAAATCCTTTGTGCGCCATACAGCTGTTGTAGAGCACGACCCGCTCGTGTCGGAGGACGCGGCCAACGGACAGGAGCCAGCGGCGCAGCGTCCCTCCCGCATCGTGGGATTTACCTCCCTCTCCAACGCCGACACGATCCCCGCCGTCCAGCGAGACAACATGGAGAGCTTCTGGATGGCCGAGACCCTCAAGTATTTCTATCTGCTCTTCTCGGATCGCGAGTTCCTCCCCCTCGAGAAGAACGTGTTCAACACCGAGGCCCATCCCTTGCCCCGCTTCCAGCCGGGAGGGGAGTTGAAAACGGGATGGACGCGGAAGAGCCGGGAGACGTGATGTACATATACTCGGAGGTGGGTTTTGCTTTGGCTTTTGTGGAGTATCCAATATATTAGATTTGGCAGACAGTCCTAATCCATGTAATGACATGTTGGAATCATCCTCGGTGTGGGGTGTTACCCAATGCGCATAGATATATATACATAGCATCATACCGACCGGTCGAATCGTAGATCATGCAATCATTACCAACCCCTTTCTACATAGCGGCCTCAATCAACTTGCGATACCCCTGCAGTGCCTCCTCCAGTTGCGCAACCGTGATCGCCTCATGGTCCCCATGCGCAACGTGGATGCTCCCCGGACCATACAGATACCGACGGACGGGCGCGCCATCGGCACGCTCATGAATACGGAGGTTAGGCACATCCGTCCCGTAATTGACCGTGGTAACCTCGAAGCCATCGACATCCGTATCCAGGTCTTGGGGCGGGTATCCCTCAGACCATTCGCTGAAGTCGGGGTAGACATTCTCATCGCCGCCGGTGGCATCGCGGACAGCGCGCCGGACGATATCCCGCGCCTCGTCGGGGGTCCCCGCGGCGAGACGCACGGCGACATTCGCATGCGCGGACGCGGGCACAACGTTGGCCGCCACACCGCCCTCCATGCGGCCGATGTTGACGGTCGTGCGGCCGTATTTCGGGCTCGAGGGGAGGCCGCCTTCCTGCGCCGGGATGTCGCCCAGGCGGTCGACGCGCAGCAGGGCCGGGAGCAGGGCGGACACGGCGCTGTGGCCCAGCCACGGGTAGCCGGAGTGGGCGGCCTGGCCGGTTGCGACGAGCTCGAAGCCCAGCATGCCCTTGTGGCCGGATACGAGGGCGAGGTCAGTGGGCTCGCCAAAGATGACGGCGCGGAAGGGCGAGGGGGACGGGTTCAGGGACGAGTCGGAGAAGACCTTCATGCCGGTGCCGCCGACTTCTTCGTCGACGACGAAGAGGAGCCCGAGCGGGGCGGAGGGGTCGCGCTCCAGGATGTCCAGGGCGGCGAAGACCTGCGCGGCAACGCTACCCTTGGCGTCGACGGAGCCGCGGCCCGAGATGCGGATGTCGTTGTCGACGCGGGCTGCGCTGTATGGGATGAAGGGCGGGACGGTGTCGATGTGGCTGGTGAGGAGGATTTTAGGCGCGGCGGACGCGCCGGACGGGTAGGCGAAGACATTGAAGCGGTCTTCGTCGGGCTGGCGGCCGTCTTTGGAGGGGACGGGCTGCTTGACGACGGTGAAGTTGTGGGCTTGGAGGAACTCGGCTACAAAGTCCCCGGCTTTGCGCTCGTGGCCGGAGATGGACGAGATCTGCACGAGATCGCGATGGAAGGACAGGAAGGGGGAGTCGCTGATGACATCGTCGGCGGCGCTGGAGGCAATGGCGCTGGTCGCCTCATCTCCGTGTACTCCTGTAGACGTCGACGGTGACAGCACCAGCTGCGGCGGTTCGGGGTGCGGAGAAGCACCGACGTAGGTGGCCGCGCTGGCCAGCAGAAGCGAGATGGCGGATTTCATGAGTAAGAGGAATTGGTGTCTACCTGGCGACAAGAAGAGAGTGGGAATCCGGATCAAGGTCAAGGAGAGTGGAGAGTGATGACGATGTCGGTCGGCGAGGGTGATGTAATTGTTGCTATTCTGGTGCTTTCGGGATAGTGTCACGTGAGATCTTCCTCTTTACACAATGGGATTATTAACTACCCAGTATTCATCCTCATCCGGACTGCTCCGAAGACACGAATCAACCTCACACTGCGGAGAGAGGACTCGTCTCATGTCTTGGACTGGATGAAACAATCCAGGTCAGTTTCACTCCTACGCTCCATACAGAATACTCCTACGAACCATACGTCATGACATTATGCATCACCGGCCGATCAGATCGGTGACAAAAGTACATACATACAGCCGACACAAGACCCGAACAAGCAAAGGAATCCGACGCCAATTGCCAAGCATCAGGGCGACGTAAACCCACAGGATCAGAACCCACCGGGGCAAGCCTCCAGCATATCCTGTCCACTCCCGATGGTCCTCTTTTACCCGAGAAAAAATTTCACTTTTCGCCATGAGGACTGTACCAGACTTTGGCCACCAGACACCGTCCGTCTGGCTCTGGCCATGTGGACCTGACGTCGGCACCAGAGAATTAGTAACCCAGCGAGATCCAGAGTTCTTGTTTTCTGGAAGGGTCTACACGACCTACTGGAATAGGTGACCCGCGGACAAGGTATGGAAGGGAAGGGAGGAGGCCGACGGGGTCCCGCTTGAGCCCTGGCCCCTCACGATTCTTGTCGCGGGTGATGCATGACGAGGAGTAGGGATTGGTTATTATGGGGTCGCACAGGCTCCGTACAGCCAACATGACCTCCCAGCTCATACAAACGTAGCGGTTCCGCTTCTCAGCTGCGACCTACATAGCTGGGTCTGGCACCGAACATACATGAACCTCCTGCAGGGTGGTGATGGCCGCTCCCGAGAATGTGTCTCCCCTTCCCAACCTCCCGGTGCGGGATGTGTCTGTTGGCAGAATGGACAGGTCGCAGGGGACGAGGGCAGAGCGATGTCGGTCGCACAACACCCTGGGAGGGAGGGAGGAAGGAAGGAATCCACCCAGCCACTAGGACTACTGGAGCTCACAGTCCATCCCGATGGAGTTCTGTGTTAGACCAGTCGAGTCGGTCAGAGTCTAGACACATTGTCTCTTGTCGCGGGCTCTCTTGTTCGCTGGGGAGGGTCGACTAGTGAGTTCCCCGACCCCATTTCGACCCTCTGGGTGGTTCTGGTGGGTGATGCGAAGCCGTTGGAGCGACGGCACACTACGGACTAACTACGTCGGATGGATCGTTCTTCGGCCCCTGCTTTGGCCGAATCGAACCCAGATCTCTCTAGCTCGCTTACAGTAGGGTTCTCATGTAATGGCAGATGGCAAATGGCAAATGGCGAATTCGAGTCCCTTTACCCTCATCCTGGTAAGGAACGGAAAATAGAAGCACAGAAAATAAAGCCCGCGAAAACCGTGGCAAGGAACAAACGGAACCATGGCACCACCCACGGACTGAGACGGACCGACTTGACTCTTTGGACAAAATTCCGACGATCCTTCCAATTCTCTGCTTCGGCTCCCGATTCTTTCGCGGCGCATGGACGAGGAGGATGGAGGAATGATGGAATGATGGGGACGGCGAAAATGAGGGATACTCGGCGGCGGCAGAGGCTCGTCGGTTGAACAATGATAATAACAGAATAATAGTAAAAATAATAATCATAATAATAATAATAATAATCACTATTATTAAGTATTTTGAGAACTGATGAAAAAGGAAAGAAAAAAAGAAAAATCATCATCTTACACCAGTTCTGATCGATACAGAAAACGAATTTCTTATATCATAAAATTCTCGACTGGTTACTCCGTCCGTCTGTGCTCCCCTCCTCTTCTCTCTTTCTCTCTCTCTCTCCTCCCCTCCAGTTCTTTCTCTTCCTCACCTCTACCTGCTCTTCCTTCTCACCACCACTCCAACGCCGCCGATTGTCTCTGCAGCCTGAGCTGTCAGTCGCCTTGGGCCTTCACCTCTCCCTCCCCGGCCAGTTGTTCGTTCGTCCTGCATCCACTGACGGGCTCCACGTCGGCTCATCCTGCCTGCCCTCCCAACCAGTCCCAGTCGGCAATCACTCACTGGACCATCGCAAAGGCAGCTGATTCCCCTCGCGCCTGCCGGTTCGTCATCTGAAGCTGTTCGACCTGATCCGTGGGACGTTGTCGTCTTTGGCTTCTTGTCTCTCGTCGTTTTCTGGACGCCTTTCACCGCCACGCCACGTCTACAAGGCCCCCGGGGACCGTCTGTCAATAAAGAGTCATTGTTCTTTCTTTCTGACACATCCCCAGCCGATTTCTCTCTGCTTTTCTTTTCTCCAACCTCCATCTCCCGCCTCTGAGTCAAAGCATATCGTCGATAATGTTCTTTCTCTCCGATTAATCCCAATCCTTGTCCTCGTATTCCGCATTGTTCCTCCTCGCGTCAAAAGAACTTTCGACATCCGCACGTGAAGGACGCCTCTAAATTTCCCTCCCGCGCCAAATTCTCCACCCAAACAGTCTACCGTTGGGAGACCCTCACAATGCTAAAACTTTCCCAACTCATAGACGCCAAACGGCGGGATAGTTCCGACACCATGGGAGAACCCTCTGTTCTCTCTCGTCCACCACCGCAGTCTCCCATCACCACTGGCACTTCGACTCCCGTCTCACCCGCTGTCTCCCTCTTCTCCGCCAAAGGTCATACGCGCTTCTCCAGTTCCGTCTCCTCCCTCGTTTCGTCCCCAGGACCGAGCAATTCTATGGACATCCCTTCGCGCAACCCCTTGACCGGTGTGAAGGAAGAACCCAGTGGGGCTCCGGCGAGGGATCTCGAGGAAGAATACTTCCGTAAGTAGCTCACCCTTGCGCCCAGCCCCGTCTTTTATCTCCGCGACATTGCCTGCGCCTAGAACCTGGCTGACCCGTGCAGAACATTTTGACCAAGGTCTGTCAATAGTTGAAGATTCCTACCTTGCCTCCATGGATTATTCCAGCGGCTACGACTTCTCCGATGCCAACATGGATCCCTCCCATTCCCCCAAGAAAAGACGTTCCGATAGCGTGTCTACCAAAGGTCTGTCGCGCATTGGCTCGCGGATATCGACGATATCGACTCGTTTCAAATCCAAACGTGCCTCCGATGAGCTGGATGGTGCTGATGGGTTTGCTGCGGGACTGCGGTCTCGCACGAATTCATCGTCCTCCGCCTTTGTTACCGTTCCGGGGCTCTCGATGAGTCAAGTGAATTCCATTGCCATTCCTCCTTCCCCTGCACGCACAATATTCGAAGAGCGGATGAGCGAGTCGGGGACCCAGCCGATTGATATTGTCAAAGCCAACAGCCAGAGCCAGGACGAGTCTGCGCCTCAAGCCACCACGCCGCTGCTCCCCCCATTCATGGGCGATGAGCCGTTGTGTCCTACGGCCTCACGCGTTCACTCGCCCCTGCAATCGCCTTCGGTGGCAGATATGTCCGATGAGATTGCAGATGTCACCGCCCAGCAGGACGGACGTTTGGCTGGACTTCCTTCGCCTCCGTTGTCGACCAAACCCTCCGTCGCCTCGTTCAGCCGTCCTCGTGCTGGCACCACCCGGACTGTGTCCGGCGAGACGCCCACGTTCATTCTCTCCGATCCGAACGATGAGTGGGCAAACAAACTTGGCCACGCCAATTTCACTATTCAGCCTGAGCCGTACGTGCCCGAGGTCTACGACTTGGAGTCTTTCCACCAACTGCGCGCCCAGTGGGATCTTGCGCAATGTAACTTCGCCAAGCATCTTGTGCGCACCGGAGAGCATTACGGGATCACTTCCAACATCTACAAGCTCACGGAAGAAAAGTGGGAGGCTATCAACAATGAGTGGAAGCGCCATCACGAAGCGATGGTATCTCAACTAGAGATCACCGATGGACCCCAACTGGGCCTCATCAAGTCCCACCGCGATCCGTGCGAACAGCTCAAAATCCCACGTCTTCACGATGAAAAGTTTCCTGAGTTGGGAGACGGCGAGATTGTCGGTCCCATGAAAATCGCACCCGCGACCAGCACCTCTGGGCTGTGTCGGAGCCCATCGCTGAAGCGAAGCTTTTTCAAATTCTTCCAGGATCTGGTATCCCGATCATAGATTCTGAGTCTACCTTCCGGGTTACAAAACTTCCTACGATTGAACTACTGCGAGAGGATGTGATGTGTACCATCTGATTTTCCACCTCTCTAATGACCGATTCAGCGTGTGATGACTAATGTCTTGTCTCTTTATTCTTGTTGTCCTTCTGATCTGTGATCTGATACATGCATGACTGATGACTTCTGCGCCTGCGACTACTGACTCGCAGGGTGCAATACGCTCCTTACGCTTGACGCCGTTTCTTTTGTTCGATCTTGTTTAATGTCTCATAAAACACTCTCTCCCCCACATGTACTGGTGTCACCGTGTACTACCCGACGCTCTTTTGCCTTCTCCGAGGTTTGCACCTTGCATAATGTTGTTGGATCCGTCTGGTTGAAAAGCAGGTGACAAGAAGGCTGGGGCTGGAGCAAGGGGAGGGGCGCGAAGGGGCAGCACCTGGAGGCCTCCTCGACTGTTTCCATACCCGAAATCATGTTGATTTGGGCCTTGTGTATTTCAGGATGGTTGTGCGCCAGCGAAAAGCATTCTTGATTGGAGTGATTTGTATAATGTATATAGTACAGACTACTATACCCAACATGTCGATAATGATATCTTAATATTAGACGGTTTATTTCCTGACAAATGCGGAAGCATCCTCGCTGATACTATGGAATGCTGTAAGATTGTAAATGCCTGTGACTGCGATGGATGATACCGAGGTCTGAAGATATAGGCACAACACCGGCCGCGGGACGAGCGCACAGCATGGCCTCCTGCACGCGGCGATTGGGCCACCTGCAAGACAGGTATGGAACGCGTCCGCGCGCCCGCTGCAGGCCAGATAGACACCTAGGTTCTACATATAAGGGGAAGGTGGTGGACTGTGGGGGCAAGTGGTACAAGTACCTGGACCGCAACCGGAGAGGCGCGATAACAGTAAAGACTTATTGCTCTACATTTGTTTTCTGATTTTAAAATTGTATTCATAAGTCCCACAAGAGCATTTAATACATCTGAAAATCTTAATCCGAATTT